CAAAATGTAAACAAAAGGGTCATTGAACCTATAAAATGTAAACAAAAGGGTCATTGACCCTATAAAATGTAAACAAAAGGGCCAACGACCTCAAATGTAAACAAAGGTTGTTGACTTGGCTAATTGTAAATAAAGGTTGTAGACTTGGCTAAATATAAACAGAGGTTGTGGACTTGGCTAAATGTAAACAAAAAGGTTATTGACCTCATAAAATGTAAACAAACAGGTTGTTGACCGCAAAATGTAAACAAAAGGGTCATTGACCCTATAAAATGTAAACAAAATGGCCAACGACCTCAAATGTAAATAAAGGTTGTGGACTTGGCTATATATAAACAGAGGTTGTGGACTTGGCTAAATATAAACAAAGGTTGTGGACTTTGCTAAATGTAAACAAAAGGGTCAATGACCTAATAAAATGTAAACAAACAGGTTGTTGACCGCAAAATGTAAACAAAAGGGTCATTGAACCTATAAAATGTAAACAAAAGGGTCATTGACCCTATAAAATGTAAACAAAAGGGCCAACGACTACACTCAAATGTAAATATAGGTTGTGGACTTTGCTAAATGTAAACAAAGGTTGTGAACTTGGCTAAATAAACACAAAAGGTCACTGATCCCATAAAATGGAAGCAAAAGCGTAATTGACCCCTTAAAATGTAAGCAGAGTTGCACACGTTCTTTTTTCCAAAAAACCGCTCCATACTCGCAAACGCCGTCATCGGACCACTATAAGATATAGCAGTTATACAAAGGGTCAGTCAAACTCAAGTCCGTGTATGTACTTTTTATTTGACAAGATAAGTTAACGAAATTTGGCATGGATTATTGTCCAAGGCAACACTATAATCTAAGAATATATTGCTCAGATCGGACCACTATAGCATATAGCTGCCATAGAGACTGATCGGTCAATATCAATTTAAAGATCTTTTTATATCGTTTTATGCTATAAGAAATACCCCTCTGAAGGGTATTAGAGCTGCGGTGTAGCTGACATAAACGTTTTTAATTTTGTTTTTTGAATAAAAATACCACAAAATACTTTTCATGTGTAAACACATAATTCAGATATTTTTAATTTTACTCGTACAGATATTATATCTATAAAACACATCTATTCAACACAAGAAAATAAATAAAATTGATGTGTACACTTCAGATTCGCAATAGTTAACAAACAAGTATAAATAAAATGATGTTTTTGGTGATCAACAACAGAATTTGAAAATCTAAAAGCAGGTATGCTTGAGCGAATTGAGTTCATCGCGAATAAAAATTAATAGTATAACTTTGTTGGTCTGTTGTTTACACCACTTCTACAATTTATATAATATTAACACTAATTTGACTGTTATCTCTCTAAATTTCCCCTACGAAAATGCACTTTTTGTAATTTATTTGGTCTCGTTATTCGTTTGTAAATTATATGTAAAATTTTCAAGCAACTAATTATTTTAGATCATGTCTATACATTAGCAGGCTTGTAAGCGCATACAGCTTATTGCCACATTAATTTATAGTGAAAACGTAAAATAACTTAAAATAATATATATACATACATTTAATAGAATTTAGTTTCATTTGTATGATGATCATCATGTTTTTTTTTTGCAATTTGTCCATAAAATAAAATTGTAAAATAATAAATTGAATGTTTTTCTAAAACTTTCCGCAACTATTCTTCGTTTATTGTCGAAGATTTAAAATCAATTCAGTACGAATACTACAAAGTATATATATAAAATATGTAAATATGATATTAATTGTCAAATAACTCCATTTGAATAAAGCCCATTTAATGATTTCTTCATTATTTTTCACAAAACCAGGTCAAGTAACACAATTCAAGTTATATAAATTAGAAATTTAGTATCGTTCTTAGACCACTGCCACGCCCAACACATTGTATGCACACATAAATACAAATTTTTCGGCACTTTGGTTCTCGTGCCATAACTTGCCTAATCCAATATTATACTAGAAAAAATTATAGACTACCTTTCGACAACAGTTATTTGTTGTTTTAAGCTCAAAAATTTCACGCTACATTTTTTCAAGTTCGTTTCATAAGACTGGGATTATATGTATTTCGTATCTTTGAATTTTCTACTTTTTACTTTTGAAGCTATCACTAAATTACATGACATTGTTTTAAAATTTTGTGTTAGCTAGAAAGACGTACACACAAAAAATATAACGTTTTCAAGACGAGCTAAATAAATCTGCTATATAGTTACTTTTATATATAAACTGAAAATATTTACAAACGGTAAGCTTCTAAACACATTGTCCATTAAAACTGGTAGAGTTGTGAAGTGCAACGGTTTCATTTTTAGTTTCAAACAGCTCGAAACTAATAGGTGACTCTCAACTTGCATACCTATGCTTGTGGTGTTTTTTGTATGAAGTTCCATACATACTTATATACAATTTTTATTATATGTGTATATGTGTTGATACTTTAGTAAAAACAAAACAAAAAATATTCCAGGCTTCATAAAAAGAAAAACAAATTAAATGAACAATGCGTCGTGTTGCAATGCAATATAAGTAGAAATTCATTTTAACTTTTCTCAGACCAACATGAGTACCGCAAGAAACTTCGAATTTTTTTAAACATATTAATATACATGCTATTTAAAGCGGCGATGAAGTTTAACTACTTTGACGGTCCCTCGCTGACTTTCTCACTCGTAACAGTCGACAAATTACGATTAGGCAATGTTGTCGAAGCCGTTGCTAACGCAGTTTCCGTCATGGCTGGTTGTGCTATCACAGTTTGTTCAGGCATTACTGCCGCCGCAGCTGGCGTCGCTGTTATAGCCGCTACCCTGCGTAATGCACCGCGCTGTCGTGGCGTTTGTGCGCCTACTGTGCCGCCAGTTGTGCCGCTTTGTTGACGTTTGCGCTTTTTTACAAAAACAAAAGTTGAGTTTAATAACTGTTGTTGCCCCTGCGCTGAGGAAACATTTGAGCCAGTTTGACTATGTGCCAATGTGACAATCGATCCCGTAGCTGCCGATCCTGGTGTACGTGCACTATTTAATGCATCTAACCATGGTAAGTCGAAATCATTCAGTGCACTCAATTTTGGTACCAGCTCTCCAAAAGCTTGCACCGGTAGGTCATTGGTAAAGCAAATGGTTTGTATTGCATCCGGTTGTGGATAAAAACTCAACAGCGGTTGTTGATCGGGTGGTATTTGTATTTCGTCCTTGCAGTGACGTCGTTTCAATTTTTCTATGCGTCGCTGTTCACGTATTTGCTGTACATCCCATTTTTTTCGGCGCTTCTCCGCCAATTCTAACTTTTCATGACGCTTAAGGAATGCTTCGTCGGATAAATTCTCGGTTCCCTCAATGCAATAGGATACCGTAAGTTCGTGTTCTGTCCATTTGGGTATCTCTAACATGGGTGCATCAGCGTGTAGCGCTTCTACTTCTTCCTTCATAAATTCGTAGCCATCGGTCACAATCTCCTCGTCCTCCCATGCACGCGTGCAATACATCCTGTCCGTGGATAAGTAACCGCACCGACGAGTTTTGTTTTGCCGTAGTTGAGTTTGTAAGTGTGTACTGCTGCGAAGCGAATGAGTTGTGATGTTCTTTGCTTTCTTTGATTGATTTTCAATTTTTGGTGAAGCTGGCGATGCAACCATAGATCGCTGAAATAAAAAACTTGTAATAAATAAAATTACAAAATTTAAGATGAGATAGTATACCTGATCGGAGAGTTCACCAAGTGATTCACAGCTTGCAGATTCATCGGATTGCAGATCTGGTGCATGCCACAACATTAGTGGCATTTGTTTGCCACGACTTGGTGTTGGTGGCGTAACACACACTTGGGTTGTGGTTGTTGTCGTTGTAACGGTGGGAACTAAAGATGGTACGACAGACATCGTAGCATTTGTTGCAGCCGGAACTGTAGTTACTGGTATAGCTAATTGTCGCATTGGTTTAGCCCCACGCGTGACATGTATAGGCGACATTCTTTGCTGTTCAATGGGCTTGGAATGTATCGAAACCACATCATTACTATCCTCGGTGGTATTACCGGTGGTTTCGCCGGCTTCCTCCATGTCACCATCATCTTCTTCTTCTGCATAATCGTCATTTTCATCTTGTTCCGCCTGTGTCTTGCTAGCTGCACTGTCATCCGCCTCGGAAGTGGTATCTGAAGTACCGGTTGTTGTCGAATTCGGGCTATGATCAGGCAGACTAACACGATGCAATATAATTTTACTAATAAGTTTACCATTACACTCGCCAATAATATTTTGTCCCCCGGGAGCTGCCACTGTTGCTGCTGTTACAGGAGACACACGACTTGCTAGCATTGGTTCTGCTTTACGTTGTATTTTTGCTAATGGTGGCGGTGAATTCGCGGTTCGTTTTATATGACGTTGTAGTTGTTTTTGTAACTCCTGGACTTGTGTCTCAAGTTGCTGATTCTTTGAACGTAATCCCTCAATTTCCTCATTTTGCGCTGCAAGTTGTTTGTCCTTAACTTGAAGTTGATCACTTTGTGCTTGTATTAAGTCCAAATGAAGTATCAGCATAGCCCGTAGTTGTTTGTTTTCTTTTATAAGCGCCAAGTAATCCGTATTCGCCACTGAGGCAGCACCGCCACCACCCCCCGCATTGTTGTTAGCTCTAATGTAGTTCTTGCTTTCCGTCGGATGACAGTAAACATGATCCATATATTTATTGTTGGCATTTGGAGTTTTGTTACACTTATTTTCCATTTTGATTGCCACTCTACTAAATTTTATTTATTCATACGATACCCGTTTAAGTTTTTGATGTTTTACAATTGACTTATCGCTTACTTTCTTTGCCTGTTTCTTCATAACACCACGCGTTGCACAAACTTTTGTTTTCACAATTTTGCCAATTTCTTTTTGTGCTCGTTTATTTTTCTCGAATCCACCATTAGGCAAAAACGAAATGCGTAATTTCGCCCACCTTTTCAACACAGTGCAAATTTTCCAATTTTAAAGCTTTGCTCCTCAAATTTATTGAACAATTTGACGTTGAAATACAATTGCCCGACAAAGCATTTTATAAACATCCGATACAAAATCGATCCAGGTACATTTACAACTTTTTACTTTGCAAATTTGAATTGGTTTTCCTCGTATCTTTGCAATTTAAAATCGGACACGAAAATTTTACACACCAGAGCGACGTTTATTTTTATTTTTGGCATCACGCTTTTGTCCACCACCGGCTGCGCATGCATGCTACTTATGTTGGCAGCACTGCCTAACTAACCACTTGGCTTGCCAATTAGAAGAAAATTTATTATTTTCAGAATAGTTTATTTTATTTAAGCAGAGATATATATTTTATTTTTCCATACCAAATATCGAAAGATTTGTTTATGTTAGAATAATAGTTAATGCAAACAAAAAAGTGCAATTGTTTACCATTTTTAAAAATATGAGTCACACTACAATATTGAAGGAATATGAAGTGGTGAGTTTTATTTGTCATTAAAAGCTACCATTGAGGTTGTTGTTTTTGGCGCAATTTCCAAAATTTATTTCATTTATAATTTGTGTTATTAATTCTCTTAAATTTTATTTCTTATAAACAAATAAACCTAAATATGTCCTCAGTATACGAAGATGATGTAGTTGAAGATTTACTTAATGGAAATTTACATGAATTACCAAGCGATGAAGAAAATGAACAGAATGGCATGGGTGGGGAAGATCTTTTTGGCGAAGATGGTGAAGCCGGTGGTAATGCGGATGGTGCGCAACCCGGTGTTAAAGTTGAACCAAAAAAGCGAACAGTGCGAAATCCAAGACCGAAATTATCTTTGGATACTTTGACGGGACCGCGTGGCATACATACAATAGAAGAATATTTCAAGGATGTTAGTTTCAAAGGAAAAGGACATGAAAAACGGGATCTAGATGAGATGATGCGTCGTATGACACACTGGGCTCATAGGATGTATCCAAATTACAAGTTTGACGATGTCTTAACCAATATCGAACGTATTGGGAAAAAGAAATCACTTCAAGTACATATGTCACGTTATCGTCTGGGTATGTTGGAAAACTTGAAAACCACTGGTGACAAAGCACATGACGAAGAAGAGGATGGTGATGCAGATGCAGCAGCAGATGAACCATTTGACGAGTTCGATGCATTGTTGGGTGAACAAATTGCCATATCTAAAATAGCGCCGCGTACGCCTGCACATTACAGTAGTGGTGGTGCTGATAGAATGGACGCGACATTTACAGGCGCTAGTAGCAGTACTTTACACACACCATCATTTAATCGTGGTAATGCAGTCATGTCTACACCATACACTACCAACGGCCACGTGGGCTATAAATTAAATGACAGCGAACTAGCACGTCCACTACCGCCGTCACAACCGGCATCACCTGCTCCGAAATTAACAGCAGAGCAAATAGCGCGTATAGCAGAAAATCGACGTATAGCATTGGAGAGATTGAAAGCGAAAAAAGAACGTTTAGCGCAGCACACAAACGCAACTGTAGATCTAACAAAGACAATACCAGAGGAGGCATAACTCGAAGTGTAAGTTTGAATGTTTGTTTTTATTATGATTTATATGGAAGCCATGAATTTGACAAATAAGCTGTAACTTTTTAATACTTCTATCAACAAATTCTCGTCATTAGAGTATTATATTCTTTCCCTATTATATCACTTTATTAAAAAAAAAAAATATTTCTGGTTTGCTCCTTAAATAAAACGTTTATGTATGTATCTTCACAAGCTTCTTCATTGCTTTATTTGAGCGAAATTTCTTATGGACTTATCATTACTATCACGTAATCGATAAGCTCCTAGAGAATTATTCTCACTGGTATCTAAAAAACATATGCATTTTGTATTTAGCCAAGGGCTCAAGTACAAACTTACATTCTAAATCTATAAATATAAATATCATAAATTTGTTTTGTCAAGTCTATAAAACATGTGCGTATGAAAACAATTTCGGTAAACAATATTAATGATTTTAGGTATAAAAATTCAATACAATTCAATTGTTAAATGAGTGCTACAATGAGATGAGTGCCAAATGTTACTTCAGCTATATGCATTTTATAAATACTTAGTGGTTTAGCTTAAAATTTACACTTCATAGCTCAGGTCTCTGCCGTATGGCAAAATTATTAGCAAAAAAAAAAACCTTTTTACTAGTTTTCATCACGTCTTGACTGTTCACAATGCGCATTCGGTAGGTTGATGGAGATTTGTGGAACTTGCGAGAAAATACTGCGTACTTTCTCCACTAAAGTGCTGCCAGCTTTCGATTCTGTAAAATTTGCCGCTAGTGTTTTGATAGGTTCTATTTTGAATTTCGTGCCAGGTAGTTCCACCTTTTCAGTTGGGCTTTCGTCTATATTTACCGAGTCTTCGATCACCTTAAGTACACGTTGATAGAGGAATGACTGACGGAAAATCGGTTTCGAGAGACTAAGATGATCATCTTTGAGCACATAAAAGTCACCGTAATCCAGACGCGCTGAATCCTCAGTTACGATGCGCAGTGGGAATTTGAAGGATGTCAACATTGTTGGTGCGCCTTCGGCGATAGTGACAACCTTAACATTACGAAAGCATGTATGTAAACATGCCATAAAACGATTGTGCATTGCAAGTAATTTTGGTGCTCCTTCTTCCATTTCTTTCACCTCAATGGAGGGGGAGAGTATCACTTGCATGTGTTGTTTCCATTTGGCAATAGATGAGCCACGATGAGGTGTGCCCAGAAAAAGGATGGAGGATGTGCTATTTGCTATTTGATTAACTTTCGGATCGGGATCATCGACAGCTTTCATAAGCATTAGTTTGGTGAGTATACCACCCATGGAATGACCGATCCAAACGACTGGTCGCTCATTGCCAACATCTGATTTAGAGAGTCGTTCCAGTAATGATGTGGCGCGTACATCGATTTGTCCTTGACCTTTTTCGCACGGGCAATACTTTGTGAAATTAGCTGACCACTCAGTGACTGCAGAGGTGTAATCTATACCAATGATTCTGATACAAACAAAGCAGTATATTAGCTATTATAAAACAAGCTTTAATAATATTTAGCTACCTTGTATTTGGATAATCATCTGGCAGCCACTCCATAGGCCAACAGTTGGTGTACTCTTCACAGTTATCTTGATTTTGCCATTCATTGCCAGGCACACTAAATTCACCACAACAACCTTCGCCCGCCTTAAGTGGCACATCTGGGTGTACTACCTCCCAATCGGATTCAAGCTCGGCAGTGTTCTGTAACGCTTCCACAAGTTCCATAGTCGCCGCATCGCTAATTTCCAAAGTTTTGTTTTTCTCCTTTTTAGCTGCTTTCAGTATGGGATCTGTATCAACAAAACATTCATATTATTACATATTAAGACATTTTAAAATTACAAAAAAAGCACACACCTGTTGCTTGTTCTTTTATGCTAGTATTTGCATTGACGTTGCTAACATTACTGGGGTTAAGTCCATTGCCATTTTTAAACAGCTTGCCATTGCCACGTCTTTGTTCGCCAACCAAGAACACATCATCCGTTTCGCTTGTGTAAAATGCATTCTTGCCATATAAACCCAATTCGGTGGGATTTCGATCTTTTTGGCGCCATGTAATGAAAACACCGCCCAACAGGCCGTGTATGAAAACGATATCAGCTTTGGGCTTGGCGCGTGTGCGCAAACGTGGATGCAATGGATAGACATTGGGTGGATAGTCCACATGATTGGGATCATCATGATCCAGATTAGCCATCGTTTTGGCCGATATCACTTGCAAACGTAAGTCGGGACATTTCATCCATTCGGCCAATCCGCCAATCCAACCGGACGCAAAGAAATGCTTCACACTATCCTCAACGAGAGACATATTCGCCAACACCTTACAGAGTGTGGAAAGGGTTTCATTATCATCGGCAAAAATTTTACGCAATTCCATAAGATGTGTCAGACCACCCTCGTTGATAATTTGCTTCGCAACCGACTCATCCTTGGTTATATGATGTAGGAATGCGATAATCTCTTTTAGCATGTCCGTATCCTGTACAGATAATGAGTTAGCTTGATCCTGTGTGAAGAATTCATCGATGCCTTCGTGTGGATACTGTTGTGGAAAGTATTTGTTGAAAAAGTTATCAACGCAAGAATTTGGGCGTAAACGCGCTAGCATATCATGAAAGTCGGCAAGCACGAGTTTGGGATTTTTAATGCAGCCACGCATATGTACCGGCACGAACCAACGTGAATCGGCGCCAGAACGTGCCAAAGAGACGGCGGTGCGTGCATCGCAAATTTGTGCCAAATGTCGAAAGTCCCAGTCCTTTAAGTGATCGATACAGGCCAATTGTCGGACGGCCTTGAGACGTTCATGTTGTGAACCCGTTTGTGCGATATTCAGCAAACGCCAGGCAACTGAATGTTTAACGGCTTTCCACCACTTGCCGATAGGGTTAATTATGATGCTGATCCATTTCTACAAAATAACAATTAGATATGTATATTTATCAAATAACATTCTGATGACTTTCACAAGTTATTTTTATTTTAAATATTTGTATATGAGAAAATCTAAACAGTTTTGAACTATGTACATACATATACAATAGTCAAATATTCTTCCATTTCTTAATATATACCTTTTCATCCTCTTCCTTTTGTTTCAATTTTCGCATTGACTCCTTATAAATATGGTATTTAATATATATGTAATCTGGACGCTTTTTATCGGTATCTGATGGTGCAGTATCCACCCATTTCGATAAATACTTTCGAATCCTCTGTTTTTCAAACAAAATTAAGCCACAACTGAAAACAACAACAAATAAATTTTAAATTAAATTTATTAATCTAACGCTTTGAATAAAAATAATAATATAATACAATTATATCGCACTAGTATTAATTATAAATAATCAGTAAATAATAACATAATAATTTGTCCTTATATTTCTATGAATAAGACTTGTTATCTGCATAAATCATCTTTATATGTACATATGTATGTACCATATAATTGTTAGTGCTTTTATTACAATTATTTGTATTATGTCTTATTATTTCCTATGTGTTTTTTTCTAGATTGCGCCACACGTGAGATTCGTTAGATGTACATACATATAAAATTAGTCAACACATTTAACCTTCTGAGATTCAAACTATGCAGCATTTAACACTACTAAATTTGCTTATCACTTTTTTTTATACGTAAGTTGTTTTCTATACATAAATTTTGGCAAATTTTCCAATACCTATACTTTTTATTATTTTATATTTGCACTTGTTTTTTATACATATACATATACATATGTAAATACGAACGTGAGCCTTCCTTCAAACGTGCTTTCATGCAATGATAAATTCAACCAACCCAAAGTAGACGCGTCATGGCCACGGCGCGATAACTAAGTCAAAACAACTTTGTTTGGTTGGTTTCGCTTCAGTTTTTGTCTCGTTTCAGCAAAATCGCGTGTTTATGCGCATTTGTTTTGTTATTTTGATTCGTTGGTCAAAACGCATATGTTCTTCGGTTGTTTATCAGGTTTTGCTATCTTGTCCACCAGTTGCTAATGTGAAGCAATAGTCTTGGCAATAACGTTAGACAGGCGAACACAAACATGCATATGTTTATATGTATATAATACTTTTAACATAAATGTGTGTTATTTACGTTTGCCAAAGTACAAATACATAATAATAATTATTTCTTTAATACGCCATTGGATTTTAAAGAAAATAGTTGTTAGCCAAATTAATCAACATTTGTTTTTGTTTACATTTGCGGTGCTGTCACTTATGTACAGTCAAGGCTTTTCGGTTTTTATCTTCATTGCATTTCCAATGGGATGTAAACAAGTTTGTTTACATTTACAAATTACGCCGGTGCATTTGCAAATAAAAACAATAGCAACATAGATTTGACGTAATGAATGCAACGATATTAAGGCCTGTGTATTAGGCAACGTTGTCTGCCAAAGCAATCACTTGGTTATTTTTACATGCAAATAGTTACTGCATGAGCTAATTCGCATATATCTGTAGTTGATTTCACACATTCGTATATATCTGTAGCTGATTTCACACATTCTTGTTATTTGTTAAACATAGCAAACTATATACACGATATTAAAAATATATCTGCTGTCGTATCAGATCATACGATAAAAGTAGCCACTACAAAAGTGGAAAAGAGAGAGTGAGACATTTCAATTTATAGGTAAACATACTTATATCAATACATACATACTTAAGTAGATATGTAAATATGTATGTATTATGTTTTAAGGCATCAGCAACACGGAAATGATTTGTTGCTGTAGTGCGTGTTAAGACCTAATAATCTTAATGCAAACAATTAAATTAAATAAATATATGTATGTATGTGTCTAAAAAATTTTTAAAATAAAATTCTATATGTAATCTATTTAAATGTTGAACATCACCATACTTTTTTACTCGCCGCTTATTTATCTATTAAGAACTACGTTTCTACTAAAGCGAAAAGTGGGTGTGTTCTTACAAGTACAGTAAAAACAAAAACAACTGAAATTTTTTACATATGTACATTATATATTTTGTTGTCTGCCGAGCCCCTTAAACTTGTTTTTAGTTTTGTCAATGTAAACAACAAATACGCGTACTTATTATTATTTACTTGCTTTTATATAGTGCGGTGTTTTCTGTATCTACATAGATATGTATGTTACATACGTCAAACTATCGGGTGATCATTTGTTGATTAATCGCAACGGTTGTTTTTATCAATTTGACTCATATAAAAGCGTATACTCGTATACTTATATCCAACATACGATATTAAGGGTCTGTCTATATCATAAGTATATGTACAATATAAGCTTTGTAAATTATTAAATACCAATGTAATCAAATGTTGAAATATAGTTGTACATACTACTATATGTATATAGCAAATAATTGTAAAACTTTCATAAATTTAGTAGAAATAGGTAGTAAATTTATTTATTTTAATAATGTGTTAATCTTTTCATTAATTAAATTCCATAAATTTATTTTTAAAATCTAGTTCGCTGTACCGAGTATTTATAGTATATACATATTTTTGTACATAGCTGTACTATGTCTTTAAAATTAACCTTTTTAATGTTTACTTACGTTGTGAGGATTCCAATTCCACCCACAGTCTTTGGGTAACGTCTCAATGTATTTGTAAAACCACCTAACGTAACTTTAGACATTATATTTTCACCAAAATTTCTTTATAAATATGTTTGTGTTTGCACTATTTTATTTTACACAAGGAACTAAATATTTTCTTATGATTGTGCTCTTTTGCTTTTAACCAAACTTCAAAGACGTGAAGATAAATAATGATGACACACTAAATATTTATTAGCACGAGCATAAAAGTCGCCTGATTTTCAATACTATATGTATATGCATACGTATTTATATATGTTTAGTTCAATTTGTTGTACACTACTTGGACGATGACACCTTTGGTATCGTAGAGGCGCGACGTGCGCAGTAGAGGAATACTGAACACGTCAGCTTCGGTGTTTTTCACTTAATTCGTTTCCTCTATTCCCTTTGAATAATGTTTTTAATTGTTTTAAAAATATATAGTCTAGGGAATCTGAAGTCACCAGCACGCTATTGGCAGACACCACTGACAAACTTTTTATGCAACAGTTTATAAAATAAGTGCTTTATAAAGTTAACTGAATTACGCTACCACTATCACGTACAAATATCTATAAGTCGTCGTTTCTGTATCTATTTTAGATTCGGAACGTCCAATTAGTTTGGATTTACTTTATTTGCACTTCCATTTTTATAAAATATTTAATCCATTTTTATTGTTTTAAAAGTCTTATGTTATTGAACTTTTTGATAAATACGTACTCTCTTTGAGGGGCGAATTTTATTTTCTCACTGAACTTATCACTTCAAATTTTTATTGTTGAATGAATCGCCGTGCGAAACTCGCCAGCTAGAAATACTTAATTTTGGTCGAATGACAAGCGTGTTGTTATTGTGGTTGTTGGATTTTAGTTTTTGCGCCGTTTCCCATGTTTGTTATTATCGTTCAATTTGTTTTCAATTGAACATTCTTCGACGTTCGTAGCATTTATTTCTGTAAGTTTGTTATTATTGTTATTATGTTGTTGACAAAAATTAAACAAAAAGCAGACAACAATTTTTTCAACACGAAGTCAGATGGGTGGGTTTGTAAGGTAAAATATACTTTTAATAAGAAAATATATTTTCTTTTGTTCAGTAAAGAGAACCGTGTTTATGAGTTGTTATTAATTTTAAAAATGTTCAATACACAATTTTAGAGAATTAAATATAATAAATAAAAAATAAACTCCTATGGCTTATTACCTTTTGGAAATCTATTTAAAATTATGTCACCTTGATCACCCTGTGGTCTGGAATTCTGCTCGATCAGCTGTTGAATACGTCAAATAATTGTGGCGAAAACTACCAGAAAGAGAACTTGCGCTAGCCTACAAAACAAAAATATCTTTTCTTCTTATTTCAACATCGAACAACAAATTTTTCACATACCTCATACGAAGGCATAATATTTATAGATCGTTTTGCTGCACTCTATTTTTTTGGCGGGTACTTAATAGTGCATATAAACATAAACATCAACACAAAGGTGATAGTTCAAGCAAAGATTTGTTGATTACAAAATCGAAATTCTATTGCAAAACAGGCGCTAACAACAACAACAAAAACAACAACTTATTAAGTGATTCGCGTGATACAACCAAGGCTTTTAGTTAGTGATTTAATATTCCAGATTCGATGAGTCATAGCGAGAGCTCTTCTAACGCACCATCAAAGATTAATGTGGCAAGTGCCTCCTTTGGAGGAAGCACGTTTTGGCAGCGTAGAGAGGATATTTTTAAACGTCTTCAACAGAGTGCAGAAAAATGTAAACTAAAATTTAGTGGAAAGAAGGAGTTGGCCACGGAAAAAGATGATAATGTGGCCGAATTGTGTGAAGCATTAGAAGACGCATTTACATACGGCTTGAAACAAAAACATTCAGTGGTTGCGTTAACAGCGGTCAGTTTGTTCCAAAATATGCATGAGATTGTAACAGGTGAGAGGAGTATTTTCATTGATAATAAAAAATAAAAAAAATTGTAATAATGTATAATTTTTACATAAAGGCAATAGCTCAGGCATGAATGATAGCAATGGTGACACTACATTTTGGGATTTTTGTCAAATTCACTTGACTCCACACGAACGCGAACGTTACACACAACTCCAACATGTCTGTACGAAATGTGGTCTGGGCAAGGCATTTATACGTGCTACATTGAACGAAAACTCACTGCAGCGATATTTACTCACATGGCTGGCAGAAGAAGACAATTTGCACCGTTACTATACGCAATGGTCGCTTTTGTTAGACGCCAATGCCAACAAAGAATTGCCACAAATTATTGGTTCACTACAGGATGTTCTCTTTGCGTTGACCGTTAATTCAGCTGAGTTGAATGCACCAACGCGCATCACACCACTTCAACCGAATAAAGAGGAACCCGTAATTTATGCACCTACACCGGTACCTGCTGCCGTCGGCAAAAATAAGCGCAGAACACAACCAGTGGAACGGCCCATTTCAACTGCAAATTCCACAGAAGATTTATTGAAGGTCATTCAAGAAGTCACTAAAGTGGCAGCCGGAAAAGAGCGTATGGATGTATTTCAAGCTATGACAGAACTGCCAGTGCAGCAAGAAACTAAGACAACGCCGCCAGATCCCATAGAACCAGAATTAGCATTTCTGAAAGAGCCCTTGCCCGACATTTTCCCACAAAGTACGCAGCACTCAACGACAACTGCTAACACCGCCAGCATACAGCATAATGGCAATGGTGATAAACAATTCGTCAACACACTGAGTGAACACGAGTATGAAGATCGGAGTGACACATCATCGCAATATAGCAAGTCATCATCTGCCAATTGCACCGTTAATCATGCAGCTATGGAGGAGAGATTACGTGAAATGGAGGAACGCTGCACATTATTAGAGACGCGTGTTGCACAATTGACGCGTGAGAATCGTCAGCTTGTAAGGCGTTTGACACAAAACTTCAATGGGCTAGCCATTGATCCCACCGCCTCCTTGGCTACGAACTTTCTCATAACCATTCCAACGGCCGATTTAAAAAAGACAAAACATGGCACATCCTACTATGCCTACGAGATACACATAACCATGCGTCAAAATCTGGAACACTGGTCGTTATTGCGTCGCTATCGTGACTTCCACAAACTACATAAATCACTACTACATACTCATCCTACCGTGTCTTCGGTGGAATTTCCGCCGAAAAAGCATTTTGGCAATATGAACTTGGCCTTTGTAGAGGAACGCCGTCAGCAATTGCAAATCTATTTGTTGAATGTGGTGGAGATTTTACCACAAGTCGAGGCTTGCAAGTCGAAGGCGGAATTGCAAAAAATATTTCCATTTCTGCGCGAACGGTAACAGCATTGGCTGTTGTTTTATACGTTTTTCGTTTAATAGTATTAAATTGTTATTCACTTGAAAGTGCTTGTTCGAAGAACTACTTTATTATTTTTTTTGTTTTTACCACTGTCAATGGGTTGCTGTTAATTATTTTTTTTTTTTCATATTTTTATTACTTGTTATAAATATGTAACTAAGCGTATTTTAATAAATTTATATTATAAAAAAAAAATTCTGAAATGTTTTATATTTTCCAAAAAGGTTTTTCTCATCTCATGTAAATAAGCATACAGTGCAGGTTGTGAAGAGTGGATAAAAATTGTTTAAACCGCTTGCATATTACTATTGTATATACTCAAGTTATAGTCTATGTATATTTTGATCACCCGTAGCTTCTAGGTATCTCTTACAGCTGCATTTCTTATAGCAAATATATGTACAAGTACAACTAAACCTAAAAACGTAAACGTCCAACGATTTGCATCCAACGAAAAATGCTAGTTCTTTCTATGATAGCTACAAGCTATACTGATTTGCTCTGAAAAATATGTTCGAAGATTGTAGCGTTGCCAATTAAAAAAAGTTTTGCCATACAAGCGCTTGATTTTGATCGATCAATTTCTTTCTGGGTGTTATAAGCTTCGTGGCAAATTTAAGATAACCTGTTCCGATTATAAAAACTCTAAATATTTTTTGTAGACTTTTGCCGAACAGAAATCCAGGTCTCTTTCAGTTATGTAGCACCGACTTTCGTGAATACTTTTTTTTTTTTTGTATTTTTGAATCGTTTAGACAACTTGGGGAATGATTAACACCATCTGCTGACCATAACACTAAAATTTTTGTTGTGTTCCACTAAATATACTCAGTACTGAAAACAACAAATTTCCAATAATTCCAATATGCATGTATGGTATACATAGTATTAAAAACATAAATTTCAATCTCACCACATGCAAAATTTCTATGGCAAAGTTGCACCAAATAAAACAGGACGATTTCACTTATACTTATACAAAATAGGTTGTAAACCAATTTATTACGAAAATTTAATTTACAAACATTTTGCAGTAACAATTAAAAATGCATGTATGTGTGATAAAATAAAGAAAATTATATAAATATATATAAGATTTTCAAAAATAGCTTGTAGTACAGTAACACAGTAACCACAACAAGAGTTTAAGCGGATTTTATATAATGCAGTCAATTTTTGTTGTAAAAGCAGACGCAAATTTTATTAACTGAGGAGTTTAATTATTAAAAAAAAAATAATAATATAACTAAATTTGGTTATAAATTAGGTGGCAAACAAACGTAGGGGGAGTATATGCTTACAGTTTTATGTACATATTAACATACATTTGTATGTGCACGTAGGCTTATTTTATGTATAAAAACAACAAAACAATTATTACTTATAATTTAATAATATTAATAAACGTTTGATAAACTACATAGTTCAATATGCATTTGTGTATTTGTGTGTGTATGTATGTATATATATTTTGTAAGCACTATTCTATAACTAATTACTTAACGCTACAAACGAAGAAAACTGTTTTATATTATATTTTTTTTTACTAGCATATAGTAGAGTGATTGGATAGTTGTTTGCGTGCAGTGTTAGAAAAAATTGCCATTCAAGCATGTTTACATACGTACATATGTTTGTTTGTATGTATAAAGGCTGCTTACGAGTTTTGTGTACTTTCTAGCAAAACACAATTTCTTTTTTAGCTTCAATACGTTTCTTTCTTTTTATTTAATTAAATTATGTACTAAGCGCTATATTTTTTTGTAATTGTTCAGTTGAAATTTAAACATATACATTTTGCATGTTACTTAGCGGTATTTCATTGTTTTGCATTCAATAATTTTGCACTGCAGCGTTGTTTGAGCGTTGGTCAGAGCGGAAGTGGGCGAAATTTAAAGTTTGCGCATGCGTGTTTCTAGTAAAATTGAGAGAATACAGAGTAGAGACAATATGCCATATATATTTTTTTACAAAAGATGTAAATTTATTTGCTATTCCACATTTGTTTGCGTAAGAATTTAACAATTTCCGAAATTGTAAAAAAATAAGTTTATAATAAATATTTTTTTGTCATAAATTTTAAAATTCGAGAAAATATTTTTTTTAGGCAAAATTTTATAACGAATATTTTTTATGTTAAAAATTTAACAATTTAGGATAAAATTAAAAAGTTGCTCAAAAAAAATTTTATATCAAATATTTTTTTATTAATTTATTTTTTCAGATATTTTACGTTAAAAGTATATACTTTTCTTAAATGCATTATTTAACAATTTGGGAAATAGTTTAAACTAATAATTTTATACCCTATATATATTTTTTTTACGTTAATAATTTAACAATTTGGGAAACAGTAAAAAAAAATTAAAAATTCGAGAAATAGCAAAAAAAAAAATTTTTAAATTTACAAAATATTTTTATTTAATGCAACTAAAAATACATAATTTTTCTGCATAAAATCAATTTAAAAAAAATGCTTTTTTCTGTTGCTCTTTTAATTAATACTTTTGGATTTTTGCGTAAAATAAAAAAAAAAGTTACACAATTTTTTACAAACAAAGCCTTTTAGCATTAAACTTTAATTTTATATATGTATGTAAATTTGTATGTGTATAAATTGTTTCTTCCTACTAATTCTCTCTTCAGCTGCAGGCAAAAACTTAAGACCACAAGTCTCTTGACTTTGCCGCCGCACGAATTGTTTTGCAATTTTTATAAGTTCTTCTGTGAACTATTTGTTAGAAATAATTATATATTATTACAATCAACTTCATTTCGCTTTAAGTTCTAAATTGCAATGCGCTTTTGCTTTATACTCTCTTGACTTGCTTTTATTAGTTTCTATTATAATTTTGTTTTGTTTGATTTAAAAGTTTTTAGTGTAAAATTTCGCTCTTATATATAGTTTTTTTTAACTATAATTATATATATTTTTTTAAAATTATTTTTTACAAATAGTAAAGAAAGAGCAAAGTTAAATTATATATATATATTTACGCAAATCATTAGTTGCATGCGTTTACAATAATTTTTATAATATTGGTGACCATATTAAATGAAAAGAAATGCCACATGCGCACATTTGTGTGGCGTTATGCTTTCGCTTTTAGGTAATTGCATTTGAAATGGAATATTTTATTTGAAAATTTTTATAAATTTGTGTTTTCGTTTTTTAAATTGTATATTCATGTTTTTTTTTTTTTAATAACAAATAAAGTTTTTAACTCAATTCATGCTTTTATAATAGTCTCCTACAAACACATCGTGTCTGCCTATCGCCAAATATATGCGGATATTGAACTTATTTTAATAATAAATATTTATACGGAACAAGTTAACCTAAAAAATATATGTTTTTAAATTTTTATGTATTTATTTACATTTCTTTATTATTAATTCTTTTGCATACAGGGTTGTAAGAAAACAAATTTGTGCTTCTTGTTACTTCTAGTTAATTTTTTATTCATAGAATATACTTGTTTTCAGCACTCTATAAGTTTAAATATACAAATGTATACATTTAAGCCGGTGTCTTTACAAATTTCTATTTTCTATATATCTACATACTTTAAATATTACATAATCATCGAAAATATTGATTTTGCTTCAAGTGCGTTTTATATGTACACGTGTATTTAGGATCTGATTAGTATTTATTTCGACACAAAATCGTCATAATATTGAAATGAAAGCAGGTTAAGTAAAGTAGTTGGAGAGAAGACTGCTGTAAACCGTTAAAATTGTATTAGTATTTTGTTTATGCTATGTATGTATATATGTATATAATTAAAATTAAATATTATATAATATATGCCAACGCTTTAGAAAAGTTTAAATATTTTGGAGTAAATATATGTATGTAATGTTAAAAATACATGTTAAGCCACTTCCAAGTAATAAATTTTTATACTAATTTTAAATAGCCTGTTTTCGCTCTACGAAAATGCACGATATAGTTTCGTTAAATTTATTTATTTTTTTAATGCAAGTCAAAGACCAAATACAAATTGTGTGATCCACACACCAATTGCACAAAAAATTGTAAAAATTTGATAATGCTTTGGACATAATTGAATTTTGAGATGAATACGACAAGAGTTGGGAAGATACGCTGACAGAATATCTAAATAAAAAATAAACTAAAAGTAAAAAAAAAAAATATATTAAAAAAAATTAAAAAATAAATAAATATATAAAAAACAATTAATTAATACAATAATAAACAAAAAATTAACAAATAAAATACCAAAAATTATTTTAAAAATAAATAAATAAATACAAAAAAATTAAAATCAATAAATGAAAAAAAAGTATTAAAATAAATTAATAAAAAAAAATAATAAACAAAATATAGATAAATAAACAAAATATAAATAAAAATAAATAAATATAAATAAAACACAAAAAAAAAAAATAAAAATAAAAAAAAAAAATAAATAAATATAAATTAAAAAAAATAAATAATAAAAATAAAAAAGAATAAATAAATATAAAAAAAAAAGAATAAATAAATATAGATAAAAAAAATAAATAAATATAAATAAAAAAGAATAAATAAATATAAATAAATAAATATAGAAAAAAAATAAATAAATATAGAAAAAAAAACATAAATATAAAGAAAAAACAATAAATAAAAACAAATAAACGAATAAAAAACAATAAATAAATACAAATAAACAAATAAAAAACAATAAACAAATAAAATAATATAAAAATAAAAAACAATAAAATATAAAAAACAATAAAAATAAATAAAATAATATATAAATAAAAAATAATTAAATAAAAATAATAATAAATAAATAAAATAAAGTAAAAAAAATTTTCGACTCAAAGCACGGGTACTTGAACTATAGATGATGTTGGTGATCATACAAAAAATATATATAGGACAAAATTTACGAATTCAATAAAAAGTTACAGAGTAACAAAATATTAGTAATATAAGTAAAATAAAAATAATAAATATAAACAAAATTACAAAATCAAAAAATGTGAATATTTGAATTAAATTAGTTGATTGGCTTTGAAATGTTGAAACAAAAAATTTTTTTCAGAACTAAGAAACATAAATAGGTATTCAAATATTAAAAATATAAAACAAAGCCTTATCGTGTGCCAATTAAAATATGAATTTGTCTTATTTCAATTTAGTTCAAGTGCCGTGTTTGAAAAAAAGCTGTTCACGTTGAAAATTTCATAAACGTAAACTAAAAACAAAGTAAAAAGCAATTTAAAATTTTTTTAATTATAAAATAACCAAAAATCATAATGAAAAAGCAAAATTTTAAATTTGAAAAATACACGTGTATATATTTCAAGAATTATTAGCTATAAAAAAATTTTACTATATTTAATAAATAAAACAAATAACAAAAATTGTATAAAAAAATTGATTTCCGAATTTTCTGTAGTAAAAAATATCCGAAAAGAGCATCCATACATATATATATTTTTTTTGGAAATCATTACAATGCTAAGCAAAAGCAATTCAAACAGTTATGCAAAGTAATGTAGACATTTTTAATTCAATATTACACAGTAAGAATGCTATTAAATAATTTTATATAGCATTCAAGTCAATAAGATTTTTTTTTTGTATAAGTTATGAATGAAATATAAACATCAAATGAAAAATTGCAATATTTATAAAAACAAAAGAAAAAAAATATTACAGTCACATATTAAATCTGTCCAAACAGAATTTTACTTGTTAAACTATGGTTATACGCGAACAAAGTAATCGTGGCATATATATTTATGCAAGACCCTTTATTGCTTAAAAGTTAGGTCGGTTGTAATAGTTCAAAATATTTGTATACAGCTAAATTACGTATACCAAACAGGTCCTCATCAGCTGTGGAACTTCAGCGCAAAACAAAATCCAATAGTACTATTCACTTTACGTAAAACTTTTTTGTTTAATCGGATAAGTGTCAAATGCATATAGTTATGTACAGTTACAATTCTATTAAAATATAGCAAAAAAAAAAAATAATAATAAATTAGTTTAATTTATGCAAACATTTGTTTGTTATTGTTGTTGCTGCTTTCCCGTTCTTAGCTTATTCAATTAAAGTTGCGCAAGAATAAGCCAAAGCGATCGGTGTAAGATCCTGTTGTTAGTCATACCAAAATAAATACATACACTTAATTCTGCAATGTTGTTGCTAATAATGGCGACGGCGTCTTGTCTGTGCTTGTACTCAGCTGTTTCATTGCAACTGCCACACTGCTTTCCACTGCACCAACGCTACTTGCCGTTGTGAGATTTTTAGCCAAATCCGTAGTTGGCTCAACAACATCCACAAAGCTCTTGTTATCTTCTGTTGAGCGTTTACGTTTAATGGGAGGCGGACTGAACACACATTTCTCATTATCACTATTACTGCTATTGCAAATACTACTACCATTGCTTCGACTACTTTCGTTTGTAACGGCATTTGCATAACTGTTATTGCTAAGCGTTGGCGGGCATACACAAGCTCTCTTTTGTGGTGATGCAGCAGACGTTGTTGGCACTGTCAACGCTTCGCATTTGTATGTGTTGTTTTCTGTTGTGCTGCAGGCGTATGTTGTTGTTGTTGTTGTCGTAGCTGTTGTATTATTTGCGATACTCGCAGCTGCTTGGCCAACCATTTGTACTTCTGTCGCATTGCTGTTCATTTCATGGCTGACCTTGTTGTATACCACCGGTAGCGTTTGTTTGGCGCAAATTGCGAATGCACTTGTTGTTGTTATTTCACTAACAACCACTGCTTCGACTGATGGCGGTAAGAGGGGCGATAGTGGTCCATCATTTGCGTCAATGTCATCCTCATCCTCATTATCGTAAACATTACCGATAATGTCATTGTCCTCATCTTCGTCCGCCATATCAGACCACCACGATACTTGTGCACCAGGGAATACGTAGGCTGAAACGGTATCATGTGCATAGTAGGTGCCTTCAAGTAAACGTTCCGCTGCAGTACGGTATTTTTTGACACTGCGCCGTAAAGCGACATTTGCCGTTTTATTTTCGACTAATTCACTTGACGTTTCTTGTGTCGTCTCTACCGTTGTATCTGTTGTTGTTGTTGTTGTTGGCGTTGTTAGTGTGTTGTCTGCGCAGGTTGTTGTGGCGGTGTTCAAGTTTTCCAAGGTAGTTGTGCCACCACTATCGCCGAAATTTGTAATTGGTGGCGGCAGTGTGCCAATAATATTGTTCGAAATAAGCGCGGAGTTCGATGAATCGCCCAAAATACCACTGTCTTTTGACGAGTCTACAGATAAGTGGCGCGCGTGCATACCGTAGGCGGTGTGATGTTGGGGCTCACTCACGCGCGCATTGAATGGCTGAAATGAACGATTTTCGAAATCCTCTGCATCTTGGGGATCTTCTAAGTAATTTACTGTTACTAAATCGTTCGTTTCGTGTGTTTTCGTTAACGGATGATTAAGTTCTAATATGGTACTCTTGATTTTCTCAATCGCTTCGTTAGCCTCACTATTTGCCACTGTAGCAACGGGTTTAGCTAGCACCATGCCAGACGATGTCGAGGATTCGAATCCGCTATCTGAATAGGCACCCGCTGATCGTAGCGCTATATCTGTGGATGCGCTGGATTTGACTGATTGTGTGTCCGTATCTAGCATCTGTTGGGCGTACTCTTCACTTTCGTCGTTGGTGTCTTCCTCCTCCAATGATAAAAGTTCTTTCGATTCTTTTAATACAACATTGTCATAGCAGATTTCTTTCCAATCGTCTCCTAAACGATGACAAAGTTGATTGATAATAACATCGGAATCTCCCAATAGTTCCACATCAAATTCAAGATGATGTAATTGCTCCCGATTGATAAGTATTTGGGGAACACTAGCTGGTATTGAGCTGGGGATCAATGCTACCGGTCGCACTTTGAGCGAAGAACCTATAACAATTAACAGGTCACATTTATCTTTGTCACTTGCCATGACAGTGTGAAACTCCTCAGGAAGACCTGTGCAACATGATTTGAATATTTTAAATGTAATCAGATTATAAAAGGCAATATTTAGTGCAAATGTCATATATAAAAGTCATAAAATAATATTCTATAAACAATAATACTTTTTAAAAACAAACGGAATTTTCTACGATATTTCAGCAATGCACTTACCTTCGCCAAAGAAAACAATGTCTGGCTTCATTATACCATTCTCCACAAGCTGTCTTAAGTCAGCGTCAGATACAGCATCCGAAGCATTCACACTCTGCTGCACATTCGGCTGGCAACGTCTACACACCGGTATGCGCTGTGAGAAAATATCTTCACGAATTGCGTCTGCTGTGCACTTAACTTTGCATTTGGTGCAAGAAGCGGTCGAGAATGACCCATGGCACTCAATTACATTTTTAATGCCAGCCACTTGTTCCAACGTATCGATGTTTTGTGTATAATTCCGTAAAAGTTTCTGTTTCTCTTCGAGTAGTTTGATGAAGCGATGACAAGGGGATGGTTTAAATTGTCCCGGATATATTTCGCGTGCAAACTTGAAGAATGGACGTGGATCACTTGAAAAGTAGTTGATGTCAAACATAGCTTGTGGATCAGGCAAATTGGGAAAATCTTTTGCCAAACGACTGTAGATACCATCACTAGAACGAAAGTCTGGTATGCCACAAGATACAGATACACCGGCACCAGTCAACACAATTATATTTGTCGATTGTTGTATCAACTGTATGACATCTTCAAATGTGTTGATATAACGAAGTTTTTGGCGTCGCGGCGGTTCGGATAACATGCTAGCCAGTATACGCCACAGCATCATGTCATTCACACCGGGCGCTATTGGATGTACATTGGAAGGCAACATTTGTGAAAGCAAATCGCGTGGATTGGCACCAGCGTGAATTTGCTTTTGTACCCAATTAATAGGGCGTGCGCTAATTGGTTTCCATTCACGGCCAGACATATCCGATAAACCACTTAAATCAGAAAAATCCGAATCAGATGTGGAGTCGTCACTGTCCTGCGAAACATCATTATTTGTATTACCACTGAACTCTTGGGACTCCTCATTTCCTTCCTCCACCAAACCATCATCTGTTTGATAACTGTCAGCGCCGTCATCTTCACCATCATCTTCTTCATCGTCTTCTTCATTTATGGAATTGTCTTTTGTTGGCAATTCGACAACATTCAATGGTGTTTCAATATTTGTCGCTGGAATTTCATCAGACGAGGAAGATGCTGCTACCGCCACTGTTGCAGTTGTTGCTATACTTTCGCAGTTTGTTTTTATATTGCTTTCGCGCTCTGCTACTACTGTTTGTGTATCAACTATTTCGGCGCCAAAATCAAAACTCTGTTTACTGGCCATGAGTGTTGTACAATTGGCTGACAAACATGTTTCATGTATTTTCACATCTTGCAAATCACGCTTATCAGAATGTGAAGTGC